AATGTCATGTCACAGATGTGACATCGCAGCGATGGAAAGTTTATGATATCGCACTGTTACCTAAACGCGACATTTCAGAGATGTCATTTCACAGATGTGTTGGCTAGGTGTCTATTTTCTTGAAATTGCACATCACATTGTAACAGAATAATAAACCGTATTTTTAGGTTGTTGCATATAATATTCCTAATACTTATTCTGTATATGATAGAATTATTCTAAAGTATATTTGAACAGGAATTATTGTGAATATATACAAAAATGCGGTATAATCCTGTGCAATCTCATTATACATGCATGGCATTTACTATTCCTATCATTCTATCATATAATATGTATTCATTATTATAACCGAATAAAACATCATGCAAATGACGGTAATATAAAATTGATGAAAGAAGTTGTTGATGTTGACTGAGATAATCATTGAGCAATAAAAACATCTAGAGAAGGTCATTGCAGGTAAATCTAAAATATTTCAAGAATGTAGGTAAGTATATATAGTATAATTTCTTGAAATTCCCCAAAAAATCAGTGTAGGCTCATCGTGTATTCCGATCGCACTTTTTATTAACGATATTGTTCCGATTAATAAACCATGCAATGATATTTCTTGATTCGCTGGGATTTGAACCCATGACCGGCAAGCGAATGCGGATTAGAATATTGACACTCTGTCCGCACGGCTACCTGGCCCCTAATTGATTAATTTGAAAATCATATATCCGAGGAAGTAACAAAGTATATCGTTAATTGAAATGATTATAATAATTATTGCGACATGTAATATATTAACAACTGACAAGCAGTTTATCATTATTACGCTTCCTGGTGAATATTCACTCTTATTCTTGTTACTCGTATTATACATATTACTCTGATTCTGACCTTATAAATAGTTCACTAATTATTTATCAGGCTATTTATATAATTATTCATTATAAGATTAGTTGATTAGTTAGTTATAAGATAAGTTTTTCATCCGAGAGGTACTTATTCACATAGTATACATATATAATTTATATGACATTTTACGTACTAAGTTACGACACTAACTTTACGTCCGCAAACAGTTTTCGGTGCTAGAGCGGCGATTGAGTTGACAGCTGTCAGCTGTCATTTGCTGTTGTCAAATTAATTAGTAATGAAATCAGATTTGCAGGCTTGACTATAATTGACAGTTTTTTGTCCTTTGTACATGAATAACTACTATTTACTACTCCTACATTAGTAAACAATATTGTTCTACGAATATATACAGTTCACTGTAAGTAGATCTATTATTAAGCACAAATTGTGAGTTAAGAATAAAAACGCACAACCAACCATAGCATAACATATAGCATAGCAACTAGTATAATACATTGTTATGTCTTGCCTTCTTCACCACCCGGTATATAAGAGTCGTATAACTCGTATTGCGTGTTGTAAGTATATTACGTACTCGACGGTCATATTTTTCCTAAAAATACTATTTTTACCCTACTGGATTATGAATTTTTACTATAGGTATTCATATTTATATGGAACACTCCTTCGTATTCTACAATAACATCAGGAATAGTTGTTGTGTTGTGTGAAAAAAAAACCGTGAGCTAAAATCTATTATTCACGTGTAATACACTTTTCTCTGACATGGAAAAAGGGCGAATCAATATTTCCCGTGGGAAAAAAGAAATTTAAAAAAAGTGACATTTTATATAACCTGTCAACAGAGATGAAATGTCACACTTGTTTTCCGTCAAAGAAAAAACAGATATGCTTGATGGTTTTTCCGAAAAAAATTAAGTGGTTGATATACAGGTTGTTTCATAATTGAATGTCAATATTCGAGGAGGCGCTTCTTGGGCCCATTCTAAGAAGAAACGTCCTAACTTTTGGGATACAGGGTGGTAAAGTTCAATATAGCCTACTACAATAAGAAGTTATAATTCCAAAATACAAAATACGAATACGAAGTTCATATCCTATGAATTGTATTTCGGAAATTTGCATTGTGACATTGTCATATTAACGATATTGCTTACATCAGATTGAAAAAATTGTATCGATCAAATTTGCTCAGAAATGATTGGGAATTTCAGGCATGATTTCAATTTAGAGATTGATCAGTGGCGTACCATTAATGTCTGCCAAAATAGGTATGTGAAATTCCATACGAACGCCACTGGTGGCAACCAAAAAAAAGTGGTACACTAACTGATGCCTCTTGATACATAGTACATATATGCCAAATTTTATTAGGATATCTTGAGTGGTATTACAGATATTAATAAAAAACTATTCATTTTTGAGAAATTTACCACCCTGTATCTCAAAAGTTGGGTCGTTTAGGTCATACGTTTATATGAAACTTTTTTCTTAGAATGGGCCCAAGAATCACCTTAAATATTGACATTCAATTATGAAACACCCTGTATACTAATAGGTGTGTTCGGGCGATATCAAAAAAGTATTATTTTAATGTGAAAAATGTTTCTAATTGGCTACCGTTGATTGAATAATAATTGACAAATTAAAGTTGGTAATGTTGGTATTAGCGAGGGTATTATAGTGTGCGATCATTATGTCAAATTTCGTAGGTTATAGCACCTATAGGTATTATTGTGTGATGAATTCGAGTCTGACAATTTTGTGGAAAGCGAGTCTAATATTCCGAAAAATAATTTGTCAATTATCAAGAATTTACATTTCGACATTTGTAAATATTCAGGAACTTTCGCAAATAAAATGTTTGATTATGTATACATGCTGATTTCAAGATGATATTCAATGAAGCGAAAAGAATACGTCTCATTATCTTGTTTTTTTTCTTCTTATTTTCATTAATGATTTTGGTAGGAATTCTAAAGTAATTGCCGGAATTTATATTGATAATCACGGACTTTCACCTTTCGAACAACAAGCAACAAAACAGTTATAGTCGATTTCGAAATTCCTACTTTTATTCATGGTTGGCAGGATATATATCAGTGGGAAATATCCAGATATATATCTTGATAAATATCATATCTATTCGACGATATTTATTCTGATATATGTACACGGTGGCCAACTAAGAATCCAGAGTTCGATACCTCTGTTGTCTTGAGAGATACAAAAAAAAGTTTTGCATTCAAATTAAAGTGATAACCAAGCTTCATATTTCAAAATTTCTTTGAAATACACAGGGTGTTCCGTAAGGTCACAGCACATCAAAGCTATGTTTTTTTCATTGGAACACCCTATATTTTATTTCATTTTTGAATTCTCCCTGAAGATCTGATATCAACAACGTATCATACTTAGGGTCTAGCAGTGAAATCGAGATTTTCCAAGTTCAGGATTTTTTTCTGTCGAAACTGTTCATTATTCGTCAAAATGGTTTACATGTCCCTATATCTCAACTTTTCAATCACTATCAATTGGTGTTCAATTGACATTTAATTGAAACAAATTATAAATTGAGATTTTTTGACCACCTTGTATCAATTTCAATTGAACACCAATTGATAGTGAGTGAAAAGTTGAGATAGGGACATGTAAACCGTTTTGACGAATAATGAACAGTTTCGACAGAAAAAAATACTGAACTTGGAAAATCTCGATTTTGCACTCTAAGAAAAACTGGAACACCAGTTGACACCAGCTAACACCGAATGATTTCCTTAGAGGTCCTGCATATTTCAGTGTTAATTCACACCTATTTGTAGAGCACCGGTGTTTGGTGCTATCTCTGCACATTTTCAGGTGAGATTTGTGATTTCGAAATCGATGTAAAGTAATACCAGTCTGGTGTGTTATGTGCAATGTTTTCTGATAGAGTTCGCACTGGTCTGGTGTGAATCACATTACTATTGATCATGAAAAACATCAGTATATTTAAAGTCACACCGGAATGAGTTTACAAAATCATCATCAAATGATCAAATCTACAATGAACGGTGTTTATTTACACCAGATCATTGAATTCTTAACCGGAATTGTGTCAATTCTAATTGAGGACAGTTCTTCATCTGACACGAATCTTCAGAATTCTGACACATTTAGGTATGAAACAAAATTGCTTCAATCAATTTGTAATTCATTATAGTGTGAAATATTTTTGTTGAGATATAGGTACAGGGTATCTCAAAATTGCTGGGACACAGAGCTACCACAGGTAATACGGGTCAAAATAAGTTGATTGGACCCAACTTCTTTTTATTGAAAAATATACCGTTTGTCCGTGAGACGAGTTCAGAGTTTTCATAAATAAACATATTTTCAAAAGATCTACAATATCTTTCGGGATTCTTCCAATACTGAAAGAAGAGTTATACTCTAAAATTTGTTTCAGTCATTTTTGAACAGCGATCAGCGAACGAAAATGTGTTTATTTATGAAAACTTCAAACTCACCTCACGGACAAACGGTACATTCTTTTATATAAACAAGTTAGGTCCAATCAAGTCATTTTGACCTGTATTACCTGTGGTAGCTCTGTGTCCCATCGATTTTGGTGTTGTGTCGAAACATCGAGACAATTGTTTCTGATTTTGACTCCTCAATAAACTTTTCTGAGCATTTGAATTTTATTTTTATACACTTCATGATAGAAACAATCATGCACTTTACACTGGAAGAGCAACATGACCCGTGCTTATTAAAAGCACAGTGAAGAGAGACAGTGCTGAATATTGCTCAACGTTTACTACGAATGGCTGTGGAACTCTGGAGTCTGGAGTGTGGAAGTGATAGGAGCACGTACACAAAGAAGATGCGCAAGGTTGCCAAGCATCACGATATGAAATAACTAAGTATATGTACCTATAGTTTCATGATAATTTAATGAACATAGGCAGTAGGTACTTAAATGAAATTGTCCTCATAAGTTCTTGGAAATACTTCCGTTGGCAAAGAATACCGAAGCTTCGTCGTTCCATAGACAAACGTGTTTTGGAAAGGAGTTGCTTGACATAATTCTAGATTGACGACAAAACGATGATTTGCTGACTCAGCCTGTCGAGTACGTTTGACGAATGGTGGACCAAAATGCATGTAAGCTCTGCAGTAATGATACAGAATGTTGCAGTCGTTAATTAGAGAGCATCATATTGATATTAAATTCATCAACTTCTAATCATTATCTTACACCACGATGTTCAAAGTGTTATATATGAAATAGGTTTAAGTAATATAAAATAGACGAGGTGGCAACAGTGTATGGCGACAAATTTGTTCCGATGTTTTTCTGATATTAGTGGTGTTGATTTACATCTATTCCAGTGTCATTTATTCCAGTGATATCAGAAAATACACTGGTTTGGTTATCAATCTCATTACTAGGTGAATATCTTGAAGAGGAATTATTATTGTGTGAATATGGATACTTCATAAAATTGATAGTCACATGAAAAATATGATAGTTGATCACTTTCATGATATGAATTTTGAAAAATTACACCTACTAATGATAATTTTTCAGAATATATCAACTTTGTGATTCATGAATAGAATAATTTGATGTTTACAGTTTGAATTCAAATAATGAGTATGAAAAGTGTGATTACGAATTCAGATTTGCCATAATGTATCACGATCTACACCGTCGAACCCCACGATATCAAATTCCCAATACTTATGATAGGATAGTACAATTTTGGTGTTGAATAGGGTTAGTGTTAATTCTAACAGTCTGGAATTGAAAAAGACACCAACAGTTTTCTTAGAGTGTGCACACCCTATATGTCAGATTTTCAGGGAGAATTCAGAAATGAAATAAAATATAGGGTGTTCCAATGAAAAAAACATAGCTTTGATGTGCTGTGACCTTACGGAACACCCTGTGTATTTCAAAGAAATTTTGAAATCTGAAGCTCGATTAATACTTCAATTTTGATACATGACTTATTTCTGTATCTCTCAAGACAACAGAGAAATCGAACTCTGGAGTCTTTGTTGGCCACCCTGTACATATATATAAAAAAAATTATATTAAATTTACCAATACGTAATTTCGAATTGAAAAAATATCTTTACGCCTGAGGAAGTATTCCCAACAACATATAATCTCCAGAAGTTCAAAAAAAAATCCAATACTCTACCTCCTGTCCTTATCCTACCTAGGAACGCACGATGTTCTTTGAACATTATAGGGATTTCCTTTCGTGCGCTCCAAGCGATAAAAAAAAATCATAAAACAGATGAAATAATTCAAATATAATTCAAAATTCAAAAATATAAATGAATATCCAAAGTTTGATATATATCGGATAACGATATATATAGGATATTTGGATATTTATAGATATAAATATCATATTTGCCAACCCTGCTTCTATTTCCCAACAACCATAGGATGAAATGCGTTGTTTAATTCTTTTGGTGCATGGGAGTTTTGATGTTTTTGTAGTATGATAGTCTACTTCTGAAAGTATCAATCAATGATGATCTCGTATACGTGGAAGTTCAGGGAAGTTTGGGAGACTCCGCCTGATGGGAAGTTTTATATACATGTTTTGTGATATGTATGATTACCCCCTCATCATAAAATCAAAAATTCTATACCTAAGGTTTTCTCCCTCGCTGCAACTGACAACTGACACGCACGATGTTCCACGAACATAATAAAAATTCATTTTTGTGCGATCCAGAAGATGAATATAGTGTTATTGTATTTATTTTTGTTTCAGCTTACGGTAAAGTGTTCCTAGTGAGAAAACGTGGCGGTTCAGATGACGGCCGACTGTATGCCATGAAAGTACTGAAAAAGGCGACGATAGTGCAAAAGAAAAAAACGACTGAACACACGAAAACCGAAAGACAGGTCCTCGAGGCCGTCCGAGACAATCCCTTCCTAGTTACTTTACACTATGCCTTCCAAACGGATGCCAAATTGCACCTTATCTTAGGTAAGAATTATAACTATACAGACCCAATCAACATATTATTATGTCCAAAAATGCTTCTTAAGGGCACTACAGTCCTTTGAATGTAGGTCCTTGGAATTTTTGTCTCAACTGTGGATCTAGTCCTAAGGTATATATCGGTCAGACAGGTCGTATGTTTAATCAGAGCATTCATGAACATATAAGATGAATTTTTTGAAAAAGAAAACAAATTCAACATACGCCAACCATATATTAGTTTTGATGATAACTTCGCAATTCTACACGTAGGAAATAAAGGAATAAAACTCAATAATTTTGAATCATTAGAAATCAATAATAAATAAAAATTCCAACATTTTATTCAGAAAACGGTGGTGGATTATACGATTTTGTATTATACAGGTGATCAAAATTTGAATTAGTATAATACTCGGGATGCATCATGTATAGAACTAGAAGAATTGATATCATTTCGCTTACGTCTCACATAATATATGGCAGCGACTATTGAAAAATATGGTGAAACCTTAGCCGTGGCACTTGATATCTCCAAGGCATTCGATCGAGTCTGGCACCACGGACTCCTCGCCAAGCTTCCATTTTATGGCTTGCCTCCCCAGCTATGTTCTCTGCTAGCTAGTTTTCTCTCAAACAGGTCTCTCCATGTATTGGTCGACGGAGTTTCATCTGACTCTCTTATCATAAATGCTGGTGTTCCGCAAGGATCAATTCTAGCAGCAACACTATTTCTACTCCATATCAACGATTTGTTGGAAGCAACTTCATGTCCAGTACACAGCTTCGCGGATGATAGTACCCTCCATACCGCCTTCTCTTCCAGGGCTCCAATACCAGCCAGGCAAATCAGAAACGAACGAAGAAGAAATGTTAACAACATGAATATGGACTTGGCAACAATTCTTGAATGGGGATCCAATAACTTGGTAGATTTCAATGCAAACAAAACACAACCATGCCTTTTCTCTAGAACAGCAGATCTCACTGTGCCCAACATAAGCTTGTCAGGAGTAACCATACCTTTGAAGACATCCATTTCGATGCTTGGTATAACTATCAGCAATAACCTTTCTTGGGAAAATCACGTGAGATCAATTGCTGAAAGTGTATCCCAAAAACTTGGTTTTTGTTTCGGGCCAGGAGCTATTCCACTTCCAGTCAGCTGCTTATGATCTATAAGGCACAGATTCGACCTGTCCTGGAATAATGTTTCCATATTCGGAGTGCAGCTCCCAAACATACTCTGAAACTGTTGGATTCCGTCCAAAAAAAGACAATTCGTCTCGTGGGTTATGCCTCGCTCAAAAACTCACTTACTTCTCTGGAACACTGTAGAAAAGTTGGCGATCTGGCTCTATTTCATAGATATTTTCATGGACGATGCTCTTCCTCAAATATCAACAATAATTGTTCCTCCCTTGGCAGTCCCAGCGAGATTAACCGTCGGATGCTCTTCCTCAAATATCAACAATAATTGTTCCTCCCTTGGCAGTCCCAGCGAGATTAACCGTCGAGTTGAGGCTTCGCACCCCCTCGTGGTCACTTTAGAGACCTGCAGAACATCTCTTTCCAAAGACTCGTTCATCCAACGAACAGCGAGGCTCTGACACACATTGCCAAGGGAGGTGTTCCCCAAGGCATACGACCTCCAGAAATTTAAGAAGAACACCAATTCCTACCTTATTTCCCTTGGTTCTCACGATATTCTATTGATATTGTATATTTCTGAAATTTTTGTGTGGAACATATTATGTGTACTATTGATGAAAATATCGATATATACAGGGTGCGTCATACCTATTGGGACATAGGCTATATAAGGACAGATTGTTTGGACCAAATATATATTTTTCTGAAATTTTCAATACGTAATAATGGCCGAATACGCGCACCATATCTTACTTCCATCATTATTGTAACGTAGGAAACTGAAAAAAAATGTCACTTCGCAATTTGTTATCAATGCGCAAACCTCTTCATTTTTTGACGTTTGTAGAATAATACTCATTTTAATACCCTGAACTGTTCTCCTATGAGTACGAGCTTGATGAATCGCACTGAATAATGGAACAAAATGAGTCAAACCACTGGGAAGTCTTGAAAAAAGCACATCGTCCGTCAATGCTATATACCTGCATCCTCTTTTGGACATGATGATTCCATAAATTCGAACAAAGGATCTTCGATGTAAAAGCCAAAGGCCTTGAGAAAATCGATGCCAACTAAAAATGTATAGTACTCGATTGAAATACCAATTAATACATACATTCAGAGATTATGAACATAACCAGAAATACAAATACAATAATGATTGGTTTCGAATAATTTTATCTCATGTATGCGATCCGGTTCTCTAGATAAGGTGCATTGCAATAATTGAAAATACATCATTTTAAAATGAAAATAAATTCACAGATCTGAGATTATAACACTGTGCCGCCCATCGATTTATTCAAGAGTGGCTGTGCTATTTGCAAATACTTCTTTTATTATTTTACTAGTCATTACATGAAACCCCAAACTACGAGAAGAATTAAACGCTTATTTGCTTGGAACATGAAAGAATTATCTGAGATCAAGTTGTGTTACTTTATGAACTATACAGGGTGAATCTGAAAGTGAGGTTTTTCATTTAACAGCGTTGTTTGGCCAAACATTGTTTATGTAAAAAGAGTGAGATAACGGAGGTAGAGGCATTTCAAGGTTTTGTACATACATTAAAAATCTAATTTTATCAATTTAACATTTATTAGAGAAAATATGATAAAAAAATCACTTTAAAACGAAAATTAATGGGTTGAAAATGTGAAAAGAGGTATTCGATCAATTTATCTGATGAAATAATGCAACTGTAGGGTATCTAATGTTTGACTAATACCGGCTTTTTTTGAGAGAATGTAAAAAATAGTATATTATGTAACAAGTGTTATAAACGTCCTTTTAGTAACGAGTATTTTAAGCACGAGCGGAGCAGAGCGGAGCGAGTGTTTAATAAACGAGTGTCTAGAAGAGTTTATAAACGCGTTACATACTATGCTTTTTCTACGAACTTCGAAAATTACATTAACATACCTGCTAGTCCTGTTAACCTACAAAATAATTCGAAAGGAATGGGAATTGAGAACATAATACATGCAACTGCATGCAACCAGCGAGACACGTATAAGTGATATTGGTTGTAGATGTGTCCAGTCCATTGCTTACTAACCTTTGTTTCACGTTTATTGTCATGCTTAGCGCAGAATGAATAAATTGTTCTCAAAGATGGATGCTTCATCTTTACACTTCTTGGAGATATTCAAGTACCAGAACATTCTCTTCGATTTCACTTTCGTCTACATTTCGCATATATTTTCAAAGGAGAACTCTTTTACAAACGAATATTGCTCGGAATATTATTTTAATAATTTTGATACAAAATTCGAAAATGACATTTGACAGTTAATACTATTGACAGGCCAGACATGTCTCAAATTACTGAAGCTGTGTTTAATGAACTGTGTTGGTGGTACCTCAGAGGGCCGTGTCCTGTCAGAAAGCCTGTGATAAGCTTTAGCTCTGGTTTGCTGAGGCTGAGTAGCTCGGTTCTGCGAATGGTTGATGAACCTTTTCGCTTGTCGTTGACCTGGAGTTGCTCTCCAGTAGGAGGACTTTTCAATTTCTTCCCATTTCCTGAGTTCTTCCTTTAGGTGACATTTGCTTATCCCACAAAAAGGCTCAGGACCAAAAAGTGCAGATACTGCACCTGTTTTTGCAAGGCGATCAGCTGCCTCATTTCCTTTGATTCCTTCATGCCCTGGAACCCACATAAGTGTGACTTCACCTCTCGTGAATCGTGAGACTGATCAAATTTAACAATTGGATTACTATTAGTAGGTTACTGGGCCATATCAAGCAATTCAATTTTTTAACGGAAAGCCTACTTACTCTTACTTATGAGTCATGATTCATGTAATACAAACGGAGCTTATAATTTTATTTTGAATTTTTATCTGAGAGAAAATATGTGCACTATAACTTTGTTCCGTTCCAATAACGATAACTATAACAAAAAGATTTTCCATTGCAGATTAATTTGATTTATTCTGTTCTGTTTTGCCCAACCATGTATTGCATTAACTTTGTTGTGTTTTGTTACACTAAAGATGGATTTATGCCTCGATTTATGCATACCCTTCATTAATCTTTTGCTTTCATTAACTGTCATTGAATTATTTTTTATTTGATGCCTTGATGCACTACCTTCTATTAACTTTAAACTCTTCTTCATGATCAAAACATGGTCCTCAACCAAACAAGCCTGATGAAAATATTTGTGGTCTAACCTCCACTGCTCACATTATTTAAATAAGAGTGATTTTTTCATATTATTTTCGAAGTCTAATCTGAACTCGCTTCTAGAATGTTGTTAAGTTTCTACCACATTTTGGAAAAATAAGGAGAAGACATTGTATGTCTGACTTGTGACCAAATCGCGCCTGCGCAAATTTCCAGTTGTATTTGTCATTAAGAGATATAAGCTCGTCTTTCAGCGAATAGTTAATGAAAGGTAAAAATTAATTTGGGTGCATAAATGATTGATCGGAAATACAAAGTTTCACTAGTAAAATCGTTAATGCGCCTTTACTATACCAGGTGTAACATCAGGATCATGGTACACCAAACCAACTTAAATTGGTGATAAATCAAAAAAATTGTCATTTTTGGCAGGATTTAATTTTTTTTCAGCATTATACCTGACAATATGAGTACATTAGAATCGATCAGAATAGTCATGACAGACTCAGATGGAAAATCAAAAATAAAATTAAAATCAATATTGAAGTTTCAAATATCACAGAAAATGATGCAGAGTTCGAAAATGCAATAATATACAGGAAGTTTTGAACCTATTTATGTCAAAAAGTGAAGTTTATCAAGTTGATAGATCAAACCAAATTTCAGTCACTCATCTCTAAAACCGAGGGGTGGATCACTTGAGGAAAATTTGTACACGTATTTAAAATACTCTCGATTTAGGAGTATTTATCGTATTTAAATCTATTTAAGATAGTATTTAGTGTATTTATGTAAATATTATTGTATTTAAGATATTTAAAGGTAATTAACAGTATTTAAATATATTTATGCCTATTTGAAAGTATTTGACCGTATTTAAAATTATTTGAGCGTATTTAATAGTATATTATG